CCAGCTATGCTAATGTAAATATTGGCTTACTTTTACTCTTCTTTTTTTGTGCCAGTTAGGCTGCACCCACACATACACGGTCATTTTTGCCTGTAGTTTGCGTGAAAGACACCAACTCGTTTGCTAACACTCGATGCCGACTGGAAATGGAGACCTTTGAGACCTTCAAAGTAAAACCTGGACCTTTTTAAACATGTTTGCTCAATGTTCACTTAGTGAACTTTATGTTTATACAGAAATGAGTGTGGGTTCAGATTTTTTATCTACCTCTTGGAAAAAAGGAGCCTGGTTCTGAATGCTGTTGGGTACCTCCTCCTGTCATGTCCAATATTGTTGGGTCTTTACCTTGGAATTAATTTTTAAGCTAGTGCGATGTGCATGCCAAGCACCTCGTCTAACGCATCTCTTAATCTGTCTCTGCAGGAATTTCTACTACATCACTATGCTACGTGACCCTGTGTCACGCTACCTCAGTGAGTGGAAGCACGTGCAGCGTGGGGCTACCTGGAAAACTGCCCTCCACATGTGTGATGGTCGCCCTCCCACTCAGGATGAGCTTCCTGCCTGTTACAGCGGTGAAGACTGGACAGGGGTGCCCCTTCCTGACTTCATGAACTGCCCTTCGAACCTTGCTAACAACCGGCAAGTCCGCATGCTGGCAGACCTGAGCCTGGTGGGATGCTACAACATGTCGTCCATGAGCGAGCTGGAGAGAGGCCGCGTGCTGCTCGCAAGCGCCAAGTCCAACCTACGCAACATGGCCTTCTTTGGCCTGACGGAGTTTCAGCGCAAGACGCAGTATCTGTTTGAACGGACGTTTGGCCTGCGTTTCATCCGGCCCTTCACGCAGATCAACAGCACGCGAGCTGCTAGCGTGGGAATCAGCGAGAAGGTGCGGTGGCGCATCGAAGGGCTCAACGCCCTCGACATGGAGCTTTACGAGTATGCCAAGGAGCTGTTCCTGCGGCGCTACCAGTATAACCGCCAGAGGCAACACCAGGAGGAGCGGCTCAGGAGACGGCAGGAGAGGCAGCAGAGACAGCGGCTGCACAGGACCTATTTGGCTGAACTCTGGAGACTGGGAATAGGAGGAGGAGGAGCAGAGGAGGTGGAAGAGGAGGAGGTGGAGGTGAAGGTGCTAGAGGAGGTAGCCACCACAGAGGACTATGGCAGTCAGGTCGTGCGGTGGTGAGGAGAACACGGGAACTGCAAACACTTCATCGGTGACTGACGGCTGGTTGATTCATTGTGCTTTACTCCCCTCCCTCTGTCTTCCTCCATCTCGCCTCTGCTGTGAATCTGCCAAAACCTCCTGCCCTCCCAGCCTCATAGCGCTTTGTCAGACTGCCGAATGGTGTCTTAATATTTATGATGGATGTATTTCTCATGGCGACATTTTGTATTTACATTTTTTTCTTATGGCTATTTTTGGCACTGCGGTTGCGAAATTGATTGATTGATTTATTAGCAAGTGCTCTGAGTGTTCTCAAAGCAGCAAAAATGTTTCTTAAACCATCGTTAGAAGAACTAAGTGAAAAACAAGTGTCATTAAGGAGGCCCATTTTAGTAAATTTCAAACTGGTGACTGCCTTGTGGTGAAGGATCCTCAGTGTCATGTGTGTGATCTTGCGCTGTGTTGAACAGTGAAATCTTGTAGTTAATCTGTGGTGTTTGGCTTCGTAGGAATATCAAAGCACAAACCTGGCAATAGTCTGCAGTGTGTTTTCTTCTTTCCGACTGATTAAGCTGCAATATAAGAGAAACAGTCGAAGCAATTTCTCGCAGGAAATGTGTTCAATAAAAATATGCAGCAGCCAGTGATGTTAATTTGTACCTGATGGACTCTCTGTTATGCATGTGTACATGCAAGTGTTCTTGCCTTGCTCCTTTTTTTCACAGCATGTTCTCACCATAAAAATCTGAAATCTTCCCTCAGTGTGCCGACTTCTTCCACCACCATGCACGCACAGATACAGTGACGCACACTGATGAAGCTTTTTCTCAAGGAGAGGAGGAGAGCTGTTGGCCTGACAGACAGGCTGTCAGAGCCAATTTCAGAACTCTTACATCACAGAGACAGAACATTGGTATTTCCACCATTAGGCCATTGATTATGGGGCTTTTTGCTTCCAGATTGATCATTTAAAGTTCAATTGACCATGACTCCGGCTTAGCACAAAGTAACAAAAACCCAGCAGCTTGCTGAACACATTTTCCTCCCTAATTTGACAAACATGTTGCTCTGCTGAAGTTCCATTTACACTGCAGTAGCCCACATAGCAAAATTGGTATGGCCCAGATCTGGCCCACACAATTTGCTTACACATGGCCACATACCGCAAAGAATGACGGCCCTTTGGTGGCCCAGATCTGGCTTTGCCAGATGTGGCCCACACATGGGCCAGCACAAGGCCATTTGCAGACACGCTGGTGGTCCTGTGCTGGCCCATGTGTGGATTACCTCTGGCAAAGCCAGATCTGGGATACCAAAGGGCCGTCATTCTTTGTGGTATGTGGGCAATATGTAAGTTGTGTGCAGCCACGGGTCAGTTGCAGACACACTGCTGACCCTGTGCTGGCCCAGAACAGTTTCAGCTCTGACCCCAGATGTCAGCCTAATGTGTAACTTAATCAAGCCATGTAATAACAACATGTGCCGGAACATAATAGTGCAAAAGTAACATGACGAAACTCTGTTCAGACAGTGAATGGACTGATTCTTAGATAACGCTTTTCTACTCTCCCGGATTACTCAAAGTGCTCTATACAACATGCCACATTCACCCAATCACACACTTTCTCTAAACTGAGTGCTTCCTAACTACATTCATACACATTCACACTCTTGACATGCAGACTGGAGGAGCCAGGGGTCTAACCACTAACCCTCCGATCAGTAGGTGACCTGAGCTACAGCCACCCACTGGCAAAGATGAGTAAACCGTCACTAGGTTTTGGATAAAGTGTACCCTCACAAACCTGTCAAACCTGTCAAAATGTTGGCTACCATAGCAGTATAGTATTGCAACATGGCATTTGGGTTTTCTAACTAAAATAGGAACATAAATAGTGCCATCATTGCCAGACCTGGCCCACATCTGGTTGACTTACACCCCGCCATGACATCAGTCAGTCAGAGGTGCCAGCTTGATGCCGGTTGCAGGGAAGACCTGTTTTCTATGAGCCTGGGCCACATAACCCAAACCACAATCAAGACAGATATGGCATGCCATGACATAGACAGCGCCATCTATGCCAGGCCTGGTCCATATCTGGATGACATACGTCTTATCGTTCCAGAAGTCAGCAAGCAGTGCCAGCTTGATCCTAGATCTGGGCCAGACCTGTCTACTATGTGGGAGACTGCTCCATGCAGGTGTTTTGTCTATGAGAAGGCAAATGAGGATGAGGAGAAGATCAGTCAGAAGGCAGAAAAGGAAATGCCATAGACAAAAATAGCCTCTTTATTCCCAGCTGTAGCTTCAATTCTACTTGCACAGCTTGTATGAGAGCAAAACAAAACAAAAAACATGTTAGTGATGCAGGATTTTTTTTCCCCCTCGTACAAAACCAGAGGACTGATGGCTTCCTTAACATTTACAACAAATAATATCACGAATTTTAGGCTTTCTTTGTAAATGTAATCTCAGATATAAATCAGGAAAGGGAACAACAGCAGAACAATACGCTGTATCCAGGAAGAAGCAGCAATAGACAAATGATATAAAAGCTTCTGTTGAGGATGTCTTTGGGTTGACAGTATGACTTTGTTCCAGGACTTCTGGGTGATTGTTTGTGTGTTCTCATAAATTTTGTGCTTTGGTTTGACTTAGTAATATCGGCCTCTTTGAAGGTCCCAAGTCCTTGGCTCTTGCTCTTAGAGCATCTAGGCTTGAGAAATGAGAAAATTGCGCAGCCTGTCTTGCTAGCACATGGGAAAGGTGAACGCATCTGCACGGAGAACTCTGAAAGACTCTGGGATATGTGAGCACTTAGCACAGATTATGACTGGAGGAGGTGTTGTCGGGCTATATAATCGTTTTATAGCACTGTTGGGGAAATGCAACAAAGCAGGATGACTAATGCAGTGTTTTTAGGGCCAGCAATTAAAACGTTTCTGACCATTTCCAATGTGACGCAAAGAGAAACCTCAAAGAAAAAAGTGCTAGAGGTAGATGGTGGAGGTGAATTAAAACGAGTCAATTTGCTGATTCTAAATTATATTTGATGACTCCTGTTAGAAAAAGTTCACACACTGAATACATTTATTTATTTTGGTTATTGTTTTATTTAAATGTTGCTTATCTTGTCAAAAAGCATTATTGCTCACACTATTCATACTGAGACCTTCAACAGCCACATCAAGCACTGTACATGAAATTTATATTTCCTGTTACTTTCACCAGATTTGGATATAAAGATTGCTGTCTTTTAATGTGCTTTAAATAACAAAGTAGCTTGTTGTGAAGCAGGTTTAACAAAATGGTAATCCATCCAACTTTAAATAGGTTCGTTCCTTTATCAAATTTAGTCAAATGAGCCAAAGCCTTTGGTGCTTATGGGGAAAAAATTAGATTCAGCATTCCAGTAGAGGTGTAACTCAATAAAATAAAATATGCTTAATGCAATATGATACGTTTGACAGCATAATATTTTAAGATTATTTAACCAGACAATGATAGGCTAAAATGACTCAGCTAGCTACAACTCCTTTTTGAATTTTAGCGTGTTGTTATAGTAGATGTTTTAAAATGTATAAAATAGCTGTAACAGCAATAATGCCTGTAAAAGTTTCACATATCTATCATGTTGCCCATCAATTTTTGATATACTCTGAAACTTTAAGGTGAGATCTAGCAGTTCTCTATATTCAGGCACCACTGTGGTATCTCGTTGGGGAGAGCAAAGCAGGCAGTGCTTGCCTTATGAAATCTAAAAATAGACACAAATGGAAAACAATGTGAGCAAGTCTCCTAGTATCTCAATGTTCTGTCCTAGAAGCTGCCCTCATTGTATCTTGTGGCTTTATTTTTCAACCTGATTGCTCATAGGGGGTTGTCTTACTAGCTGAAAGAATCTGAATAAAATTAGCATGTCAGAGGCTCAGGCATTCTGTTAGGAAATCTGAATCACAAACAAAAGAGTTTAGAAATACAAACTCTCTTCCAAGGTCCATAGCTACACAGTAAATATTTTTGGGGCTTCAAACAAAGGAATCCATTGTAAGTCAGGTAAATATGCTCAGGGGACTTCCAGTCAGAGAAAGAAAAACTGTAGACAAAGGTCTTAACTATTGAGTCATTAATACAATGAGTCCTTATTATTTTCACTTCTGGGTTGCTGCACAGTTTCCCAAGACGAACCTACGGTAAAGACGACACAATGAGTGCATATTATTACAGCATGTCTACAGTATGAGTCACAGAGCTACTGAAGAAAGAAAGTTAGGTGTTGTCAGTCATGTAGCAGACTTGTCCCTGCTTGCCTTGCTAATGACGGCCAGGTGGACCAGTGACCTTGTTTTGGTCAGGCAGCGTTCCCAGTGGAAAGCGTTGAGAAAGGCCCTCCTAAATGTATCACCTGAAAGAGTGTAGAGCACCAGGTTGAAAAAGGTGTTAAATCCAGCCAGAGGCCGGGAGATGATATACGCTGCATGCACGATGTTCTCTGCCGGACAAGTCGCGTTATGATATCTTGATTCTATCCGCAACACACGCAGGACGTGATATGGCATAAAACATACAACAAACACCACCAGGATCAGTACAGTCACACGCCGTGCTCGCATCCGACAGAAACTTGTTGTGCGTGGTCCGTTTGCCAGCTGTTTTACTATCCCAGTGTAACACATAAACACCACCACAAGGGGAAGTAGAAATCCAAACGCAGTAAGTAGCCAGCCGTACAACCGCACAGTAGCGACGGGTTCAGTACTTGCAAAGTCTATGCACTTCTTGTTATCATTTACTGATATCATGCTCAACATGGGTGTTATTTCAGCGGCAGAGATGATCCAAACAGCTGAGCAGGCAATTATACCCCAGCGCTTCTGCTGTACCTGTGCTGCACTCAGTGGTTTAATCACCACTACATAACGAAAAACTGCCAGACATGTTAGAAAGAGGATGCTCCCATAAAGGTTCAAATGAAACCCAACGCGCACGACACGGCACATGAATCCGCAGAGAGACCACTTATCCCATCTGCTGTAGTAGTAGACCAGGAACGGCAGGCTGAGGACGTAGAGAAGATCGGTCACCGCCAGGTTGACCAAGATGATGCTGCTGCTCTTCCAGGGACGCAGCTTTGTCAAGTAAATGCTGATAGATGTTACATTTCCAACCAAGCCCACAATGAAGATGAGACTATAAGCCACAGGCAGGTAGTAGTGTTTCATCAGTTCATCCAAATCGGTACAGTTGGAATTGTTGGAATGGTTGATGGCCATAGTTCAGTCCTATTGAGAATGAGAAATGAGTTTAATAACCACACTGAAAACTAAAAAAAACCCCGCAAAATAGAATGTCCCCTGCATTTATGAAAATGTAACTGAAGCAATTTAAAAGGAATTGGGGAGACACAATGTAGCAAAATTAGCAATCCTATAAATTAATTAATTTTTAATTATTCAAAATTATTAATATTACAAGAAGGGCTGGTTAGAGTTTTCAAACAGACTTCAAATATTCACATTTAATGTTAGTGATGTTTTTGGTATAGCTGCTATTTCTGATCACTAAAATTTGGAAATCACACCGTGAGAAACATGGGAATGAACACAACATGAGTAGTGCAGGCCTTAACATAAAAACAAACAGAAATATTAATATATTAAATATAATTGGCACGCATTGAACAAATGCCTTTTCTTTAACAACACCTCTATTCTTGTGTACTGTATTCATGACATATATGTTTTCTGAGCAATACAATAGGCAACACGCAAATCATTTCATTTCCCCCCAGCTGTCAGATCACAGCAGGCAGCAATTACTGCTCATGGAAGGAAGGCGAGAGCAGGACAAGCAAAGAAACAAACAATCAGGGAAACTCGGTGGGAAAGAAGCAAGCAAAATCATTCTTTTTCAACAGTCTGATTTCTGAAAGCCTCTCAGTATATGACAGTGCCTATGGCATCCTGTAATGCTGTCAGTACGATCTGTTCTCATGATGGATGTCAGGGGATGTGTGAGGTGTCACTTACACATCATAAACACTTGGTTTTCATGAGGCAGGAACTTGCACTCATTAAAATGATTACATTTTGCAAAAAACTACAAACTGTAAATTATTATTTCAGTGTTACATCTCAGCATAAAGGTAACATTCGATTATATAAAAGGTTTTTTACTCACTTCTACTGCCAGTATCCTCACCAGTATGCACTTCAGTCCTTTAGCATCTCGTCTTTATTTTCACTTCCATCCCACAGTCACACCCTCTTTTATTCTTTCCTTTCACTGTTACACACCACAAGTGGGAAAGTCCAGAATATTTTTACTTGAAGTCCTGTGTTGCGTGCTTCAGCTTCAGCTATGTGAAGTGCATACTTCCTGGTATCACGCTTAAGCTGACAAAGCTCAAGGGTCAATTTGTCTATGTAGCTTAGGTTTCAGGTGGTGAGGTGAGGGAATGGAATGTCGGGGATCTAGCAACACAGGAAACCGTCCAGTGTTCGTTTACAAGAATGAACTCAAGACTTTCTAATGAGGTCTTTATTATTTCTTGAAACGAGCATGTGAATACCTCAGCATGGCACTACCGAGCTAAATTTAGCACACGGTTTCTGATTAAAGGAACAAGAAGGTTTAGAAGCAGGGAATGAACACTTAATTATAATAGTGTGTTACCATTTTACTTTAACTTTCTACAAATTCGACCGTAAGTTTCAATCAAAAGTGTCACACTAAAACTTATATGTTGTGAACTGTGCTTCAGTTGTGCACATCTGTAATCAACAAACTGCTGCTCACAGTAAAATGCAGCATTTTCTAAAAGTCAGATATCAGTAACTAGTAATATAATTAGTTCTGTCCAGCAAATGTAATGTCCAGCAAAAAACGAATATTATATTTTACAGTGGTTCTGAGACTATTTTACTTTTCTAACATGTGTTTTTATTTTTTTGACTACTTGGCTTCTTGTGTTCCTTCTTCCTGATGTTGCTACCACTACTTACCTGAGGATAAAAACAGGAGAAAGGAGCAGCAAAGTGTGAATAAGGACAATTTCCAAAAGCACAACGGCTGAGTTTTCTGCACTTCTATCCTGAGGCAATTAAAGCATTTTGTTCCTAGTCATCTCAAAGAGCTCACAAGTGCTGCTAGAAATAGACAAGATTTAAAACCAAGTGCATTTGACCTATGCAGCTTCTTCTCTGCCTCACGACAGGACCTGGACACGTTCCATCTGTCCATCCATCCATTTTTTTCCACTTATAAAATTCATGGACTCTACTTCACTAGAAAATCCTGAAGGAGAATGTCTGGCCTTCAATTCATACCCAGAAGCTCAATCACACTTGTGTTATGCAGTAGTAAGACGACCTCTGAATGGCTCAAAAAAGGAACTAAATTTAAGCGTTCAGAGTGGCCTAGTCAAATTCAGGGTCAGATCCATTTAAGGTACTTTGGCATGATCTTAAATAGGCTGATAATGCATGAAAACCCTCTAATGTGGTTGAATTAAAACAATTGTGGATAAAGGAATGGGCCAAAATTCCTCTACAGCAACGTGAAAGACTCATTGGCAGTCATTACAAATACTTGGGTGCAGTTTTCGTTGCTAAAGGTAGTACCAAACCAGCAATTACTTTTTCACATATGATTAGGTAGGTCTGGCTACCTGTTTTCTTTTTAATAAATAAAATGTCTATTTAAAAACTGCATTTTGCATTTACTCAGGTTGTGTGTGTGATCTCAAACATGTAAGTCTGAAAAACAAGCAAAAATTTAAAAAAGGAGAGAAATCAGGTAGTGGGAGGGGGGTACTTTTTCATAGCGTTGTAGTTCGGTACTTATAAATAGGTTGCTTGTCTTTGTTAATGATTCACTTCAAGCATTAATGATTGCAGCCGCCTTAACACATCTTCCCACCTCATGTAGTCATCAGCTACAGACCACACTGAAATATTGATTTAAACCTTGTGCAATTTCCTCTTCCTTTTGTGTCAGTCTTTATAATGTAAACATAAAAACATGCACGCTGTTATTTTTCAGTGTGAATATATTTCACTCATTGTCGGGGTAAGCTGCAAAAATACGCCTACAATTCTCACATTATGTTTGACTGCTGCTATCGCTAGAGCATGCAGTGTTGACCGCAGTCATGCTTAATATTTGTCCTGTGTTTAAAGGTTATTACGCTGAGTGTCAAGTCTACACCTGACATTACCTCAAAGCATAACACATCTGCATCTACAAATATATGTCTTTTTTCCCTTGGCTGCCCTGGACATGCTGATGTTCTCTGTAATGTCCCTCACGCACACACTTAAAAGCAGTAAAAGAAGCTGAAGTTTACAAATGTTTATTTTACAAAAGGGAAGCTAGAAAAGTGAATAGAAATCACTCTAAATTGTGATTCCTATTCACTGTCGGGATGGCGCAGTCCAGAAGCAAGTGTTTTATTGTAGAGATAAAAATCATCTTAGTTCAGAAAAAAATGAATGTCAAAGATCAACTCGACGCACAGAAATCTGAGTAGAGAGGATTAGGAGGCCAGGGGGTAGCTCGCCTAAGGAGGAGAGGGTGACAGAAGGTGTTGATGGTGGGGATGTGTAAGAAAAAGAAACTGCTTCTGTCTACAGTTTAGGCATCTTTGCAGCATTGAGGCGCATAGAAACACAGGAGGATCCAGCAGCATAGCGCATCTCCCTCAGCATGCCGCTCCACTGCTTCTTGTCTTCCTCATACCTAACAAGAGCGAGAATTGGGTCATTTTTCCCAAACGAGCAAAGTAGCAATATAAAAAATAAAAGCCTGTAAATCTGGGTCCCTCAACTTAATAAGACTTACTGCCAGACATCAGTGACCTCTGTGGGAGTCACCTCCTTGTTCTCCATCTGAACCATAGCAAAGCCACCCACAGCGTAAAGCGAGCCACCATTGCTTACTAGGTTGACAGAGCTTCTCTCCTGAGGAAACTCTGTGAAGGGCTCCCACCTGAGGAGACACAACATTAGGAGAAGGTAGGAAATAAGTCTAAGCTATCCCTGTTGTTGTAGTTTGTACCGCAGTCATTTTTTCCAGTTTCAGTATTTCTCTTTTCTTTTGGCAGATAACTGAACTGTAGTTTATCAAAGCCAAATGAGTGCAACACTTTTTTTTAAACGAAAAAATTCTGTTGGTTATAAACAAGTAAATTAACCAGTCCTGTAACTTAAATGTATTTATATTTTGCACTTAATTGCAGAAATTTTAATGTCAGAGTTTAAACTAGCTAGCTTAAATACTGTTAATCTGAGCCAATAGGCTCCAGTTAGTTATAGCAACTACATCGCTAAAGCAAATCTAAATCAACCTGATAGAGGTTCCTGCTGCAAATAAATAAACCACACTAAGATAAATCTATGTTTTATTAGTATTGAGGCTCCTTTTAATCCTATCCAGATACTGCACTAGCTAGGGCAGATAAATCGCACTGAGAAGCCAGCTAGCTAAAATTATTAGAGAAAGGTTTGACTCAATGAGCATGAAGAACCAGTGAGCGCTGTGATTGTTCTAACCATCTTGGGGGAAGTGGGATGATTTTAAATGTGACATGTAATAAAACATCCTGTTCTACCACATCCCAAAGGTGCTCTACTGGCAAGGCTGGACTGGTCATCTGGCATTTTGGGCCAATGGATTGAAAGGCCGCTGCCGTGCAAGCACTGATGGGGGCCCATTGGTTCATTTTTATTACTGACACTGTATTGCCCAATTAAATCTCTTAAATGCGATCAGCCCCTCCCCTCCCCTCTCCTCCCTTCTCTATTCACTGGTGCAGCTTGTGGAAGAAGTTTAGTGTAGAAGAAGTGAGTAAAAGGTAGAGCTGAAAAGCTAAGAGAAAATAATAAAAAGAAACTTAAAAATAGATGCAGCAAAATGGGTCAAATTAACAACATATTTGTTGTTGGCGCTGCTGCACCGTGAACAGCAACTAGTAACCAGACCTCACAGTTACAGGAGGCTGCTGCTGAACCAGCTGTGTAGAAGTGAGTAAGAGATGCAGGAAGATGAAACTCACATGATAAGAAGATAGATGGAGGGACATAATTAGGAAAGGAGCAAATGGCTACTTTCATCATGAGCCACTGCTTATATCTAAAATGTAGCAACTAAGAAATAACCCAAAAACAACTGTACCTGATGAGAACCTGTTTCAATATCTATAATCAAACAAAAACATAAAAAATGCATAATATGTGTATGCTTGACAGATATACATATTCTTAAAAAAAATAATAAGAAGAAGAAAATGATGGTTGGCCGCCTGGACCA